GTGAGGGATGTGTGTGGTCGTGACGCCGTTGGCTGTGTGCGCTGCTGAGGTGGTTGCCGCCCTGTGGTGGTGGCGGGAGGCATCGCAGTTGAGGTCTGCGACCGAGCAGCGCAACACGGGCCCTCGAAGTTCCTCGTCCAATCTCGCGTGGTGCGCACACCTGAGCATGCCCTAAAGTGGCACCAGCCAAGGCAGGTGTTGCACTTGACTGATGTCACTTACGGAATATCCTGGTCTGACATACCGTGCAGATTGTAGGAGGAACCAGGAGTTGTTGGCGGCGGCGTGTGGGTAGTGGTGCGGTTATATGTGTTCTGTGGTCTGTCGTGGCTGTGGTATGGTCTGTGGTGTTATTCAGCCTCATTGCGAGAGTCGTGCCGAATGCAAGTCGTTTTTCGAGAGTCGAATTGTATCGAAAATTTTGCGTCATTGTCTAAAATTTCGACTCGACTAGTGTATTAAAACGGAAGAACTTGGCAGCACTGCATAGTTTTCGACAATTTTCGTCGTTTACTTATTTCAGCACGACAGTAGACAATGCTAATGTTGTCAAGTCGTACAATTCAGCCTAATTTACGACTTACGCAATGAGGCTGAATATGTTGTTGTGCTGTGGTGACTGTGTGAGGCTGCTCAGGTGGACTGAGGTTAGCCGTGGAGGCTGCTCTGTTTGAGCAGCAGGGGGCCACATACGACGTGGTCTACTGCCGATGTGTCCGTAGTCCTGAGCAGGCTCTGAGGTGACTCCACCCCTCGCAGGCATTACACTTGACTGAGGTGGAGTTGTGGTGTAGTCGTCTCTGGCATACACAGCAGGAGTAGATTTCTGGCCCTGGGTTTGAATCGATGCCAGCCCTGAGTAGAAGAATACGTAGCGAATGTAGCCCTATGGACGAGCAACTTCTGAGATACTTCGCCGACCTAAACGGGGTTAGATCAGCGACGAACTGTGCAAACTGACACATAAGATGTGTTGCCATACTGTACAAAACAATTTAATAGAAACAATTCTACGTAGTGAGGGTTATAATCCCTAAGTGCGCCCGAAGGCCGCCTACGCATAAAGGTGTTCTATGCAAATGGTGTTCAGCCCCTTTTCTTTGGCAACACAGAAAGGAGAATTCTACGTAGTGAGAGTTATAATCCCTAAGCGCGGCCGAAGGCCGCCTACGCAGAAAGTGGTTCTATGCAAAAGGTGTGCAGCCCCCCTTCTTCGGCAACACAGAAAGGTGAGTTCTACGTAGGGAGGGTTATAAAGGGGTTATCTGCAAAAGGTATTCAGCCCCTATTCTTTTGCAACACAGAGAGGAGAATTCTACGTAGTGAGGGTTACAATCCCTAAGTGCGGCCGAAGGCCGCCTACGCAGAAAGTTGTTCTCTTCAAAAGGTTTGCAGCCCCCCTTCTTTGGCAACACAGAAAGGAGAACTCCTCTTAGTGAGGGTTATAATCCCTAAGTGCGACCGAAGGCCGCCTGCGCAGAAAGGTGTTCAGCCCCTCTTCTTCGGCTACACAGAAAGGAGAATTCTACTAAGGGCCTGTGTGAATCGGTAACTAAGTTCTATTGGGAAAGCTGTTGAATAATATTTTTACTATGGTGAGACAGTTTTGCCAATCTGCTGTGTGAAATTAAATATTTTTTGACAGCAGTAAATTTTTGATAATCGCAGATTTATGCGGAATAAAATATTACAAATTGGAGTGAAATTAATATTTTAAGAAAACATCTATCATCGTTGATTGCAATTCATCAATTTAAGCTTTTATTCAACGAAAAATTACACACATCAACAATCTTTGCGATTGTCAAAATTTTCTATGCATTTGTCAAAAATTTCATAGCCACTGAAATTTTATTCACCTCATAGTTGTGAAAAATTCACTCGCCGCGAACTTTTTACCGATTCACACACGCTCTAAGTGAAAGTTCCGAATTAAAAACCCGCGTTTATTATTCAAAATTTTAGTGTGGCAGACCCAGTTTGATGTTATTTTGCTATCTTATTTATCGTTTATACGAAAACTTTAACAAATTATGTAAAAACTATAGGGTTTCCAGAAAAAAGGGGGTTATTTTTGAAATCAGGGAGTCCTATTCTACCCCTCCTCATCGCAACTTTTTCTAGAATTTGCCCTCCGACTACTAAAATTTTCCCAATAAAATAAGTAATTTGTTTTAAATTTTTATAAAGGTTTATAAACTTTGCCATTTATTTAATATCGGCTAAACGGACAAATTGATTGCCAAAGCAGGTAGCTATGCAAAAATAAAATATGAAGATTGATAAATCTGTCACAATATTTTGTATTTTACCCGCCATACTTAACGCGTGAACAATTTCCTGAGATCTTATCCCAAAAAGTACCAACATATGAATCATCGGATTTTGCTGCCTTTGTTGGAAAATTGTGAGATCACATATAATCACCAACGTCACCGGTATAATCACGTAAAACGTCCTTTCCTCATTTACATTTAGAATTAAGGACGCAATGTAAGCGATTGTCACTGCTAATACGACGTGCAATTTATACTTTATAAACGGCTTTTCTTTTTCATGAAGATCCGAGTGATTTATGGTATCATCAAACCCCCTGAATGTGGTTTCAAACTGGCGAAATGGCATTTGTAAATGCTCCGGAATATCTGGTTCAACTTCAGGATCGGAATATTCACAAGTTTCCTGTGTTAGGAAATCTTAAATGAAAAACAATTAAAATAGAACCCGCATAAACTAAATATGAACCTACTCGAACGTTCATTTATCAATTCGGTATCACCGCCACCAGATTGCTTCATACTTAGCTTCTCCAACCTGCTCTTGGCATTTTCAAGGATTTTTCTCCTTCGAGCTTCTCGTCTAGTCTTTATTTTCTCATTCAATTCTTCTACTTCAGGTGACTCTTGCAGCTCCATTATTTTCCAAATTTTTTATAAATAGAAGATAAATCGTTTTGTAGTGAAGAACACAAAAGGTAAATACGACTCTTTACTCGATATTCTCTTGATATCGAAACCTAAGGGCCCGTCACACGGTCCGTAATTATCACGATATTTGGATCGCGTTCGATATTGATGGATTGATGGATCGCGCACGAATGCTACATGTTCAATATTTATCGCGTCAGTATTTGCATAATTTTTACGCTGTACGCTTATTAAGGCAAGAAAATATGGAACAAGTAAAGAATACCCACCGTTTCGCTAGAAAAAAAAACCAAAAATAGGAGTCGATAGAGCTTTTTGAGCAGATTATAACGGTACTAAAATCTACTTGCAGAAATTAAAATTAAGCGATATATCGAAGGCCAAGGATCGAAATTTGCTTTTTGAAAAACCGTAATATCTCAAAAACTAGCAAAGCGTTTGTAAAAGTTAATAACCAGTAGTAATATAATATATATATATATATATATATAATATACATATACAGGAAATTAACACACCTTTCTCTAGGTCTCCATTCCTTGTGCCTTGCATTTCTAATTTCTGATAAAAATTGGTTTTTTAAAAAAAATTTTAAAAAGTCCATTTAAACTGTTTTTCCAAACTAGCCTTATTAGGATAGTGTGGTCGTTATTTTGGTATAAAGAAAATTAATTTCCCTTTCGTTTGATATGCGTATGTCTATACCTAAGTTCTCGGTGCAAATAAATTTCATATAAAATTTGTTTTCATAAACTTTCAATACTCATCCGACTATTCCATTCACACGATTTCTGCGCAGAGGGTGTTTAACATAATCCAGGCAATCAGACATAAGCAATAAATTGCTGACCACCTTTTGCAGAGAACGTGGGGAATAGAATTCTCCTTCCTGTATTTAGCAAAGAAGAGAGGCTGTGGGACTATAACCCTCACTAAGGGCCGGTTACTCAATGTCTGGTTATCACTAATCTCCGGTTAAACATAGTTATCGACGCTACCGACTCCCTGTTGTATGAATGTAGTCGAATACGTCGATAACAATGTTTTACCGGAGATTAGTGTTAACAAGACAATAGTTGCGTTCCAGATGCTTCACGATATTCACGAAATTCACGATTTGCAGGAACAGCTGTTTTCCCCATTAATAAACCTTATGGGAGGTGGTCACCTGGAACGACTTCCTGTAAAAACCTGCAAATCGTGAAGCATCTGGAACGCAACTATTGAGTAACCGGCCCTTAGTTGAATAGTCGGTAAAAGTGCACTTTAGCTTACAGGGCCAAAAATGGACGAAAAATTTCGAAAGTGGTATTAATCGACGCGTTTTAACGCCAATAATAATAATCCGACGGCGGTGATTAACTTTTTAATTAATTAAATAGTTAGAGGGAACTTTCCAATACGGGCGTTCATTAAAGGGGCGGTGGGCGAAGGGGGAGTGGGCGCGGCACCTCCAGCCTAACTTTTTGGAAAGGACATGAACCGCCATTGACAAAAATGCAACCCCAACCAACTAGGCCCCCTATGGGTCCCTAGGGACCCCTAAGAAAAATGGCCAAAAATTTAAATTTTTACTTGCGTCCACAGTATTTTTGCACAGAACTCCTTCGGCCGCGCGATTATAACCCTCACTAATTAGAATTATCCTTTCTGTGTTGCCGAAGAACAGGGGCTGAAAACCGTTTGCACAAAAAACTTTTCTGCGTAGGAGGCCTTTGGCCGCGCTTAGGGATTATAACCCTCACTAAGTAGAACTCTCGTTTCTGTGTTGCCGAAGAACACCTTTTGCCATCCACAGTATTCCTGAACAAAACTGCAGCAGCTATAATTGCATGAAATTTAAAAAGAAAAGTGTAATAATTCAATACCCTCCCCCAAAATAAAACGCTACCGCTTAGGGCCGGTTACTCAATGTCTGGTAAACACTAATCTGCGTTTAAACATCGTTACCGACGTCTTCGACTCCATGCATATAACAGGGAGTCGGTAACGTCGATAACGATGTTTAACCGCAGATTAGTGTTAACCAGACATTGAGTAACCGGCCCTTAGAGTGGAAAACAGCCATGCTGAAAAAACTACTATTTATTGTCTACAAGTAAAGAAGCTTCAAACAATTTCAACCTCATAATCATCCACGATTTCACTAGTATGAGGATTTAGAGGGTTGTAGAGAGCTCCCATACCAAGAAATGTTTTTAAGAGATCCATGTTGCCATGCTTATAATGCCTCATAACCATAAACTTTGCTAAATATCCTTGAAAAACGTTTTGTTGCGGTGATGTTGCGGCATGGAGTATTTAGCATGTCGCCAAAGACCCTCATTCGTATTGTTATGCTTTGTGTTTCAAGATCTTTAAAATTAACCGAATGATTTACTCTGAAGTGTACAAAACCCTCATTTTGCAAACAATCGTAGGCCCGTTCAAATTTATTACTTTATTGTATATATAATCAAATATAATACAAGCTTACCTTCCAGAAATCCGAAACAATCGTCGTATTTGGCAGAATCCATTCCTCTGTTATGCTCAACAACGTTTCTTTATCCCTTGTCTCCACGCGGACAAGAAAACACTTGTTTGTAGCCCTCTCCACACCTCCAAACATCCACTGCCCTTTAAACGCATGACCTCGATGGTACTTTCGGCGTCCAAATTCGTTTTCGTCAATTTCGACTGTAGCTCCCGCACCTGCAATTTTTCCCATGCTTCACCACCATAGCATCGTACACTACTTCCCTACAAAAATTACACCAGTCAACTGCAGTAGGCCTAGTTATATTAGGTTCATTCCTTATCTTTTTGGACTAAAATCTGAAAAGCGTCAAAATGCCAGAGCGTAAGCAAAATGCGCTCACTAAAAGAGAATAACAGGAAAAGTAAAGGAACGCAAAAAACCAAATTTTTAGTGCAAAGAATGGCAACAACAAAACTAACGTCAAATAAGAACAGAAATGTATGTACAAAACACATTCACACAAGCACAAGCACAATAAACACTTGCTATATCAATTATTTTTTGCCTTCTTCCAATTTCAATTCATTTCTTTTACTTTTTAGATTATTCTCACTTTTAGCGTATCCTTTAATTTCCGTTAATTTAAATTCAGTTGAGTTTGACACTTTTCAGGATTTTGCCAGAAAAAATTCTTCTGACTAAATCTGACTACTTCGGACTGATGAGAGTCACTCTCACTGACTGTTGCTCTCTCATTTTTGCTGTCATTTTCGAGTTAAGGAACGCTTTTTGGACTAAATCTGACTACTTCGGACTTTTTCTGACTATTTCTGGGAGATAAGGAACGCTCCTATTAAGTTCGTCCATAATAAAATCTTGCGTAACGTTTTTTTTTTTAACGCAAATGATATAAGCTTGACAATGGCAAGCTTGGATTTTTCAAAAAATGTATTTTTCCGCAAGGAATCCTGTACATTACAGGTGCGCGTACGGTATCCGATTTTGCTTATTTTCCGGCATCGGTAAAAATATATATATCTTTTTTTTAGCACAAATCAAACGTTACCTCCACATGTAACCATCAATGGACCAATGGCATTCTACCAATATCAATGGATGCCCTGATCACACAAGTAGTGCCCTTCCATTGGAATCAAACCCCACTCCTGGAGTTGACTCAAGACTTCTGCATTTATTTTGCAGTCGTCTTCACTTCCAAAAAACGTATATAGTTTAAACAGATTAAACTCACATACACATTTTTAAATCACTTATTTGCACAAAGAAAACACGCGGACTCTTCGCTGTTGCATTAACGAATAATTTGATTCATATACGCACATTAAACGGTAAATACAGTTACCTAATCGTTATTTAAAACTACTACACTCAAAGTACCAAGTCAAACAAAAAAATACTTTAGCTGATTTAAATATAATAATAATGCTGTTTGGATATATTAAGGTATACAATAATCATTTGGCGCACCAAAATGCCGCATTTTTTTGCAAAAATATTCCAGCATTAATGTGATTTCGCACAAATCACAGAGAATTCGTTAAAATAAATTATAAAGTCAAGAATGATAGGATACGAGCTGATTTAAATATAATAATAATGCTGTTTGGATATATTAAGGTATACAATAATCATTTGGCGCACCAAAATGCCGCATTTTTTTGCAAAAATATTCCAGCATTAATGTGATTTCGCACAAATCACAGAGAATTCGTTAAAATAAATTATAAAGTCAAGAATGATAGAATACGAGATTGCAAAAATCGTGCTGAGAGCAACTAGGTGCGACGTCACATTATTTTGAGAATAATGAGAGTGTAAAGAATAATTTTGAAGAAGCAGAGGAAGAAGCGAACGAGTGGTGCGAAATAGTGATGTAAAACTAGGTCGATCTCGTATCGATTATTCTGAATATCGATATTTCATGGTGCTATAATCGATTTTTTTAATCGATATTCCCAGGTCGATATGTCGAAGACATCGATACATTACCCGCAATATCGATATTTATGTTGAAATTTATTTTTCATCTACAAAAAAGTGTATGGGAAAATACTAAATTAGGTTTAACCCATGATTCAATAATACAAGATTGGATAAATATTGACATTTGTGTCAATCGACTGCCTTGTAAGGTTGCATTTGAGAAGGAGGAGAAAGCGGGTAATGGGCTGTTTTTGCTTACGCGTAAATGTACATTTAGCGCATTTAGCTCTAAATGCTACTCTAAATGTACATTTATCCATACAAAATTCGTCATCTAAATGCAACTAAATGCAACTCAATCTTTGCATTTAGAATCTAAATGCTAAAAGCATCCCTGTGATCTTCCAAAATTTCCACGATTCGAACATGGTTTAATGAGAAAAAGTGGCAACATTGCTTTTTCGAGTATACAACCGCTAGCTGCGTTTCAGTGATCGCCGATCGAGATTTCATTTATTATTTTACATTATTTGGATAAAGAAAAGTTACGCAAATTCAACATCGATATGATGCTGATAGAAATCTGGATTAATTTGTGATCAACTCTGTTTGTTTTGTTTCCTAATTAGGTGTGGAAAATATAATTGGCAGCACCGACAAATGAATATATACACAAACAAATGTTCGGTTATGGTTAAAACAATTCAGGTTTTTGTATTGAATTTTCGGTTTAGAATTTATTTTTCCTTTTCAGTAGGGGTTTTTGCACATTATCTTTTCCGTGAGAATTTATCGTAATGGATACGGATCTGAATAAGCGACTGGAACACGGCTGTTTGTCAAAAGCATACGATTTCGAACTCGCGTAAATGTACATTTGCTAAATGCGATAGCATGAACGCTCTTCGAAAACATTTGTTCGAAAGTGCTAAATGTTGCATTTTAAATGCAGCAAAAACGCTGCATAACCATTTGTGAAAATGTAGTAGGAAAAGTAGTCTGGTAGTGCTAAAATGCGTTTTTTGTATATTATATTGAATTAAAATATTAAAGCACATTCCATTGATCTACACAATAGACAATGAATTAACTTTTTTATGGTGTATTAAACATGCTTATATAGATATTAAAAATGAAATAAATGAAGAATGAGAGAATTTTATTCACATAAAATTCTGACCAAAGAAAAATGTTATCGACAAATATTCCCAAATATTTAACACAAACCAAATATTCAAAACAAACCATGGTTTCATTAAAACTCCAGTATATATTAAATAAAATTAATGGAATTCAAACAAATCCTTTATTCAAAGGGACTGTATTGCACACCAAAAGAGTCACAACTCCAAATTTGGCATTTTTGAGATTATGCGCAAAAAATGTACACAGAGCTTTTATTTACCTTTCAGCAAAAGCTGGATCAAATTCTTGTTATAATTTGTAAAAAAAAAACCTAAGGTAAAGTCGCCCTAGCCCATATGATTATCATGTGCTAACAAATATGTAGTTTTTCGCATTTTCTAACAAACGTATGATTTGAGTTGTGACTTTTGAAGACGGTGTGCGATATGAAGAAATATACAGCTAGTAAAGATGCAATTGATACAATGTATATAAATTAATTCTTTTAAAAAATTTTCTATATTTGTTGCATTTAAAAATTACATGTTCAATATCTTAAATTGAATTACATTTGGTGGACGGACACACAAAGTGATCCTGACCTGCACAAGAAAAAAGCTTTATTGATATTTACACTTTCACTTTTATGGGTTGGTATATTTACTTGGAAGTATGTAACGACTATGCAGCTGTAATTCCCAGTGGACTGCACCAGCCAAACATAGACGGACACACAGAGATCCTAGCATGCAAAACTTATTGGTAACGGCTGCACTTGCTGTAAAACGCAGGTTTTTGAATAACTCCGATACTCTGCAAAGAAATATGTAAATTGTTATTTTAATTCAAAATAGCTCTATTATTTTTGATTTTTTGGCATACTTACTTGAATTTGCGCAATAAGAAAATCAATTTCCTCGAAACAATCGATGAAACTGTNAACGCAGGTTTTTGAATAACTCCGATACTCTGCAAAGAAATATGTAAATTGTTATTTTAATTCAAAATAGCTCTATTATTTTTGATTTTTTGGCATACTTACTTGAATTTGCGCAATAAGAAAATCAATTTCCTCGAAACAATCGATGAAACTGTAGGCAGTGTTGCCTGTTGAACTTTTTATACGAAGACAATATTTCTCCTTATCTTTTAGTAGTAGTTTCTATAAATCAAAAGAGAAAGCAACACAGGCTAAGGCAGAATGCGGGAGCGAGACAACTGCCAGGTTATCCAACCTTGTGTTATTGAATCATGGGTTTAACCAGCAGGTTGTGTGATTTATGTAGCTCTTAAGTTTGACAAACCGCTTCCATGGTGTATACGGTTCTTAACTCGTTGCCACCGTTAGATTTATAGGGCTTTCGCACAAGGCAAATTTTCAGGCAACTTTTGCGTTCAACTCACGCAGGGTTGCACGAAAAAAGAATTGAATGGCTGAATATAGTAGTCATATGATACCTCAAACAAAAGAAAATCAAATACAGATTTCAGAAAATATATTTATGGACTATGTTAAAAATGCGTTTTTTGAAAAAAATTCATAAAAACCATTTTTTTGCGTATATTTTTATTAAACCTCTTTTTTCCACAAAATTTCTTATACAAATTCATCAAACGAAAGATGTTTAAAATACCTTTCGAACGCGGTGTCGTAATATTTTTTGTGTTTTATGTGTTAGCAACTTTTGTAAAGCGTTGTAATTGCTTTTAGCGAGTATTGTAAAGTGTTGTTATTGCATTAGCGAGTATTGCAGTGAATAAAGGTGGCGCCGTCAGTGGTACCGCTACTTTGGTTTTGCCGATTTTGACAGTTGTGGTAAGTGGTAAATAAATCTTTGTTTATAAATCAGAGAAGTCAAAGATAAATTTGAATTGTAAATGAAAAATCAGTTTAAATTGAGTAAATTTGCAATTTGTGAGTAATTTTTGAGTTCAAGACTGCGTAAAACCAATAAAATGGAAGTGCCGTGTGTTAAATTGCGATAGTCGTCAAGATGCAAGTGTTGCGCTGCGACGAATCGCTGCATTTTGTGTACATAGGGCAGCGTTACCAGGTTGATGTTTTTAACGTCATTTGGACGTTTTTTGTATCCTGTTGACGTTTGGACGTTTCTTGCGTAAAAAATGACGTTTTTTAACTTCGCAGTAATTTTTCTCTGTTACTAAATCTTGTAAGTAGAACTGGTTTTGAATTATTTCCCTAATAAATCTTTATAAGCTTTTTTCAGCAGCTGCTTCAAAAAATATTTTTTCTTTGGACACAGTTGACTAAACCCTTATTTAACCGCATAAAGAAAATTACACAATTAGTCGCATGGGGCCCCTTATTTAAAATGTAATGAACGTAAAAAGGCTGAAATATTGCTATGTTCCTTCTTAACAGAACGTAACTTAGCGTTTTCGNAAATCTTGTAAGTAGAACTGGTTTTGAATTATTTCCCTAATAAATCTTTATAAGCTTTTTTCAGCAGCTGCTTCAAAAAATATTTTTTCTTTGGACACAGTTGACTAAACCCTTATTTAACCGCATAAAGAAAATTACACAATTAGTCGCATGGGGCCCCTTATTTAAAATGTAATGAACGTAAAAAGGCTGAAATATTGCTATGTTCCTTCTTAACAGAACGTAACTTAGCGTTTTCGACAACAGACCACTTAACCAAATGTTTACAAGAAAAATATATATATATATATTAAAAATCAACGCGATTCCTTAGCAACATACAACTTGCACATTATTCACAATTCAATGGGCTATCAACCTGCATACTCAAAAAAATTCTACAAAATCGGAATAAAAAGTTGAAAATGTAGCTCATATTTTGAAGATTTTTTATAATTTTTGCACAAAGTTTCAAATGTGGATTTATATTTGGTTTGTTATATAATGAGCTAAGCTTTTATGGAAAAATAATAAACATTATATAAATAAAAAAGAAACAGCCAAAATTGATGACTGAGCTGATCACAAGTGTATGTATAAAATGATTTTTACATTTACGATCTCAAACCAGTGTAGAAAGAATTTTAAATAAGACAGAGCAAATGAGATATTAATATACCTTACGAACATATGTACCTTTGTATACAATAAAAGTTTAATAAGAACAATTCTTTGTTCATACATTTGAAAAGGACGTTTTTGGGTAGGAAATGACGTTTTTTTAGACCGAGAGGGATGTTTTCTCATGCCGAAGACCTGGCAATACTGACATAGGGCACGGCAAAGCCGTTCCCGAAATGTGTCTTTATTATTAAAGAATGGACACGAAAAATTTTGGTGAAAATTGGCCGAAAATCATTATAACAACTTATTGCACAACCTACGAAAAGAGTTTTCTGCTTTATCATCTTCCTTATTAAGCCTACTATATTAAACAAAAAAAACTTATTTCAATTATCTTCATTATAAACAAAATGGCGCAATTTCATTTGAGCGCTCTCATTAGGACATGCACATCCGTTATTGTGGCGGTATCTGCTTCTCTCTGCCAACTAATTTTGAAATTCTGATAATTTTTGATGTCTTCTTTCCTTTTTATCTATTTTCTTTCAATGCCAAAGGGGCTATAATGGCACAATGTTAAAGGGGGGCAGAACAGAACTGAGCCTTTTGGTGCTTTATGAACGACAGCAAACGATATTGCAAACACTCCTTCATACAAACTTCTTGATCTATGGAGCCCGTGGTCATGATTTTTTGCTCTCGTGCCACACGGGCAGATGGCTTGTAGCACCAAGTATTTATTAGGGCAAAAAAAAATAACAAAAAACAAGGAACTTGACCAGTATTTTTAGCTTGAAGGTATCTTGGACTCCATTTGTCTTCGTTGCATTATAAAACTCAGCGCCCCGAATCTGCTTAAAGGCGGCTTCGAGGTATGTTTCCTCGTTCACACATACCTTTTCATGCTTTTTGCACAAAATTTTCTCCGAAAGCTCACACTTCGCCGCACACATTTTGAGGAGTACGTACAAGTTACAAAAAGTAGATACGCGAAATTAACAACGACAACATACCCTATGAATGTGTCTACCTACTTTTTATTTAGTTAGTTTTACGCAAGTGATGAGCAAAAACAATTGACTAGTTTTTCTTCGTGTCCATTCTTTATATTAACAGCATTTCATCACAATGATTTCGCTTCTGCTCCAAGCAGCCTCCTTTAAGCTTGATATACAGTTTAATACGAGCGTGAGCGTAAACTTTCACAAATGCAAAGAATTCCATTTGTATTCTTATGGACGCCCACACACATCTGTCAAAACTTGTCGTTCACATGCGAATGCTTTGCACATAGTTGAGTGTGAGCTCGAGAAAAGGCATACTATGCATTTTAAGTTAGTTTTTATTTGATAATTCTGAAAGATATTTTAATTCTCTATCTTTTGATGTATCAACTATTGCAAAAAGTTAAGTAATAACGAAGATATTGGTCAAAATAAAAAGCTCACGCTCGCATTGAACTGTATATCAGGCTTTAGCAAGTTAACTAATCAATCCCGCTGAGATGCTGCTACAGCAGCCTAATTGCAAAACAATGGAGTGCACTAAAACGATCATTATTCTCTAATAGGTTAGGTGAAAATGCAATATTTTCGCATTTAGCAAAATTAAAACACGTTTTTCGCTGTAAAGTGAACTGTTTTGACAGTTTCAACAAAGAACGTAGATAACAAGATGGGACAACTCGTTATAATTGTAGCGAAAGAGCGCAACAGGGGCGTGCCTTCTCTTTTGCCCTAGTGCGTGTTTTGATTGGATGTTCTTGTTATCTACGTTCTTGGGTGTAATGTGCATTTATATATATGAAAGTATGTGACAGAGGAACATTTCCATTTAAGAAATTTAAAAAAAAAAACTTATAAACAATGATATTGTTTATATTTTTTTGTTATATAGCATTAACACATCATTAAGTTAAACTTTTGGCAAATAAAATTAACCTTTTGACAAATAAATTTAATTTTTTGGCAAATAAAATTAATCTTTTTGTCGATATCTTTAATCTTTTGGCAAATAAATTTGACCTTTTGGTGAATAGAATTAGTCTTTTGGCAAACAAATTCAATATTTTGGCAAATATATTTAACCTTTTGCACAGCAACAGCAGTGTTTTAGTGTATTTGTTACTTCCAAACACTGTTTAGTACTACAGTAGAGTTTAATTTTATTTGCCAAAAGATTAAATTTATTTGCCAAAAGATTAGTTTTATTTGCACAAAGGTTAAATTTATTTGCCAAAAGATAAAATTTATTTGCTAAAAGATTAAATTTATTTGCCAAAACATTAGTTTTATTTATCAAAAGTTTAACTCAATGTGTCAATGCTATACATGTTTTAGAGGATACCTCCCTCCTGAATATCCTGACCAAGTTTCCTTTGTTAATTCCACCTGGGTTTCTTAAACACAGAGTGCGGCTGACTACTAAAGCCCGCCCACAAATGTCAACGGCCAGGTCGGCGCAATCTTGTATTCTTGTGTTTTAAAAAGTAAAAAATTTACTAAAAAACTGCTGTTGCTGTGCTAGGACAGCATTTTTTTTACTTTTGACGCTTAGCTTTACTGCGCCAATATCAAGTGTTAACCTGCAGGATAGCTGAAAAGTGTTTTTTTGTTTTTCTGTTCTGTTGATTTCACTGCTCACTTCGAAAATGTTTTCTTTTTGGAAATTTCAAGACATAAATACATTGTTTTGTACCTGCATTTGAAAATATATTAAGGGAGATTTGTAGCATTTTAGATGTTTTTTATCCCATTTGGCCATAATGCGTGGTTTGGTTGAAATAAAGTGTGCCGGATAGTTTGACGAATTTGAAATTATGCTGTGACAGAACTGTTTGAAAGTGAGCAGTCAAATCAACAGAACGGAAAAACCAAAAAACACTTTTCAGCTATCCTGCAGGTAAACTCTTGATATTGGCGCAGTTAAG